TTATTGCTATTCACCAACCTGGGTTTTGTGAAAACAAAGATGAAGAAATAATTTTGAACTTCAGCTGTTTTCGATAGACAACATACTTAAAGCCACTTGCTTTTCTTCTCCTTCACCATTCTGCTTTACCTAGACCAAAATAATATACAGGAACATTTATAGGGTGTTGAAGTTATACAAGTCCCCTAGGTGGCTGAGGCTAGTTCCATATGCTGCCCATCGAAAACACTTGAATGTTAGCACTGACACTAGCATCACCCGTGTTGCGGGTGTAGAGTGCAACACCGCTGTGAGTGACTCCATCGGGAATATACACACGACCACTGATGGTCTGCAAACCGTCGTCTTTAAACACCTCAATGACACTGCCATCAACAAAAATACGCAGCTCCAACTCGGTGTTTGATGCCAACGGTGCACGGCCGTGCAGTGGCAAGTTGTAGCCAATGGTACCCGATTTAGTACGCTCTAGATATAGAAGCGGTTCATTTGCGACACCGCTGGACACAACTTTATTCGGAGTGGGCACCTTAAAACTGTGGTCCCAGTACAGTGAGCACTGCATCATGTCCTTATTTCCAGTTTCATGCAGAACCCACGACTCACAGGTGCGCTCTTTTGTGCATTCCTTACTGCAGTTCATCGCGGCTCCTTTGTAATTATTGATGGGATAGATTTTAAATGCTGTGTTTCGCCCTTTCGGGTAGGTGCATTCATGACACACGTTTGAACCTGCCTTCGCCGCCGGCATCTTCAGTGCCACAGTTGTGTATTCGAATCCATTGGTGTTAGTGCGGATACGCAAGCCCACCTCAGGGGCATTTTCTTTGGTGTATCCCTTCGTTTCATCAAAAAGATCTGCGGGAAAAGTGAACTTTGCAATAATCTCCTGATGCATCGTTCCTACTTCAAACGGAGTCAGAACAGTACTGACACTGCCAGACAAAAGTGTCAGAGTCCCGTTGAGGAGGCGCGCCCTGCGCAGAGCTTTTAATTCAGGAATCGGTGGGTACTTGAGACGCTTCTGCTTCTCATCGTAGGCGATTCCACGTAGAACTTGCACGCCAGCCCATCCCTGAACCTTCACATTCTGCGTTTGCTCCATCTCTTCGGGAACCCAGCCCCAAATCATGCGCCGCTTCAGGATTGGGTCGTAGAAGGTTTTGGACGCATAGTAAGGCCCAAAGTCAATGAACGTGGTGGTGCGGTTAGTGTCCTCAACATATATGTGCTGGTCCTTCGCTTCGCTCAGCTGGTAGTTGCCGTACACGACGAATTCACGACGCGCTTCCATTGTCGAAAGCTTCAGAAAGTACCCATTGGTGTTGTCCACAGTAAAGAAATCAGGGCACTCCAACATTGGTTCAAGGTGGTACGTGTAGAGAGTGTGCGAAAACTTGTAGCCGCTCATAAACGTGGGGTCTGCAGTGCGGAAGAGAACCACATGCGCGTTGTCACCCTCATCATCCTTAACACGTGCAATGGCTGCAAGGAGCCATTCATCAGGATGTGCCGGATCGGCCCACAACTCTGTCGGGTCACGAAAGTTGTTGAGGTTGACCAGCCCGGGTACGTCGTCTTCGCTTAAGACAGGGTTGACTGGACTCTTCTCGAAGATGTCCAGCGTGCGTTTGCCCTCAAGATCAGCTTTGGATGGGCTCGCGGTACACACACGCTGGATGTCAGGCCTGCCTTGAGCAATATCCTCCTCGCCCGCATTCTCGACACAAGCATAAATGGCAACTGGGTTTCCCAAATGGTTATTGATCATCGTGCCCGAATACACACCATGCAAGTCGTACCAGCGGTCATTGGTCATGGATAGGCTTTCGCTGCGTTTCCACTTGACGTAGTCATCCGAAGTTACATGATACCACGACATATTACCCCAAATTGCTCCGAAGGGGTTATATTGCATGTACAAGTGGATCTTGCCTGTGACAGGGTCTCGATAGGGGCCATTAGGGTCATTGATCCAGTGTTGAGGGACAAAAATATGGAAGGTAGGGTCATACGGAGATGTGTCCGCATAGGAGAGTGTACTTAACAGTACAATGAGAATTAAGATTGTTGCGTAAAAATTCATTATTTGGATTTTTATTTTTAACGGTATGAGTTCTTTATTTGGTTGAGGGGAGGAGAAAGCACGGGGAGAAAGATAGATAAATTGAAAAATGCACTGTCGATATGGTCAGTTTTATTTTATTCTTATCCAAGCAAGAAAAAGAAACGAATGATTACACCCTACGCATTCGGAATGTGAGGATAATTTTCTCGAACAAAACAGTGATAAATTCAGCCCATACGGGTACGCAGTTTTAAGGGAAAAGGAAAAAATGGATCTAAACCAACTATTTAACGTGACAAGCAAAAAATAAATAATGAAACATACTTTGTGCAATCAGAAGTACAGTTTCATTCAGTGGTTCTTCGTGCGCAGTTTAATTTATAAGAAAATTATACTAATGTTTTCGGAATATAGCCATGTCATCAGAAGCAAGATCTTTCGCCTTATCCCGCAGACTTACAAAATGACCGACAACTGCCCATTCTCAGATGCCCTCACATTATCGCAAAGATGGCTTCTCCAAATGTGCGCACCCTTCCAGGAAGTGAGAAAGGTATCATAAAGAAGTTATCAAGCCTCAGTCATCGATCCCTTTCCAACACCTAATGCTCAATTCCCGTACGAATGTGCACATTTTCAATAAAGAAATATCGGTTGATCTTGAATAGTTAGCGAACAGGATTCACAGATAATGTAACTCAGGAATAGAGCTCCAATCTCTTGTTTCCTTGCTTCTGGAAAATAAGGCTCTTCCAAAGCAGCGCACGGTTTAATGAAGATGACACTAATACTTGAGGTATCTTCGGCACATAACAGACGTAAGTGAAATGGGGCACTGATGTGGTGGTAATTGATGATTCATTTTCCATTTCAGAGGCATACTATTTCAAAGAACTCGCATTTCTCAAGAATGATGGTATCTGTAGCTGGTGTAGACACAAAACTCAGCAACGATATACTCGGAAAAAGCTCCTCCAAAGAGGGGCACCTCGCTAGAAAGGACCTATTGTGAGGCCTCCAGTGCTCAGCACGCATAGGTCCCCCGCAGAGTACCAACAGGCTCCCAGTCTTGGATCCTCGTGCTGCTGGTAAAATGTAGTTCTCTTAGGAAGGGACACAATACCAAAAAAAAGGACATGTTCGCAATGCTTTATTATCAAACAGCAGAAGCGATAGAAATTCCCCAACAGGTGCCTAGATGTCAACATTTTCGAAGTGCGATAAATCAAGGCAAAGGATGTTGGGCAACTGAGTTAGCCATGACACGTCCGTCGGCACCAAACGTCAAACCGACAACACGGTTGGCGAGATCTGCTTTAGCGCATTTGATCGAAGGGAGTGTCGCCATGCTAGAAGCCGTGAACCACCCAGTGCGTTACCTGTCGAGCTTCCGGGGAGGATTTCCCACGCCATCGTATGTCCTTCCCATTGCTCCAATTAGAATCGGGGGAACAAACAGTCGCAAAGTAGGTTGACCCAATGCCCACCATAACCTACCCCAACAAGTATATGTGGTTCTTTTCGACAGCGCACGGGGGACAAATGCGGTAGCAGCTTCACTACAAGCAGTCATGGCGGCGGTTCAATGACTTCAGAAGGAAGGTGCAAAAGATAACATATCGTGACCTGCAGATATAAATATTTTTTTTGTGTCTTTTCTAAGAAACGAAATAAAGTGCTAAAATGAAAAGCTTAAGTATATCAATATAATTACAGAGGAACACGCAAAATGTAGTGACTAATACTTGCACTGGATTGTTTGCGTCTTATCATTAAAGGCATCGTGCGGTCTCTCCAAACATTTGAATTGCATGAGTGCAAGCTAGTGTTTTTGAGTCTACCTGATTCCTCCGGCAATGTGCCTTGTTTGCAGGAAGAATCTAGGCAAATACTATTTTATGATAATAAGAAAAGGCCACAAATCCTTCCTTTCGCATCACTTTCATTTCAAGAAAGCCCTTTGCTATCTTCTTGGTTCCAAGGTTATGAACCATTGGAATGCTAACCATAAATGTAGAATACTTATTATTCCCTTTTGCTATCCCTGCGTATGTCTAATATTTAATATGTTATTTACCACCTCCATATCTTAAATCTTTGATATTAAGACTTTCACTATCTGATGTGAGGTTGTGATGCTTCAAATTATGTGTAACCTCGATTTTTCTATCCTTCTTCTTCCTTCTGGTTAGTGGCGCCCTTCGACTCAGGTCATAATGTAAAGGATTTACATACAGACGTAAAATTTTTCTATTTCCTGTTACTTGATGAATACTGGAATCTTTAAGCGGAATAATTATTAATTCCATACATTTACATAAGTCAACATAAAAATGATACTTTGCGCCATACCTATCGTTAACTGTGCACCAATATCACCTGTAGGGTAAATTATTGCATGTACACGACCATAAACACAAGAGCGCCATCTCAGGTTCGGTGTTATCCTACTTCTTTCTCCGCAAAGGTCACTGAGTGCGGCTCAACGCCATGCATCATCCCATCCAGGCTAATAAAGACCCAGTATGCACATCTCGTCCCCAATTGTCTGCAAATTTTTTTTTTTTTTTTTTTGGGGGGGGATAAATTGCACAAGGTATCTAAACCCATTCCATAGTGGTGGGATG